ATACGACATACGATAGATTGTCACCCTTTATTTCCACAACATAAATCCTTGGTTTTACACAATGTACAAATGAATGAATGATAATTTTGCATCTTGATTCAGTCATCGCTTAACAGAAATACCATCTGAATTTATTTTTTTCAACCATGAAATATCAAATCGTGTTGCATGAAGAGGTATTTAACGAAAATGTAGTTATCTAATGATAGTTTTCTTGAAATGATTGCATGTAGTCCTCTAACAAAAAATGTATTTTTATTTTCAAAAAAAAGTTTTCCTTTAACTCGAGTTCTCAACAATTTCTCATTGTAATCGTCAGAACATGACCATATAGGAATGTGAAAAAATAATATACATATGACTGAATTGCAACTTTTTGCTACGTTTGAATTTTTAATTGTATTTTGTCAATATTTTTCGTTTTGGTGAACCGATTCAGACGAATTTTTATATGTTACTGGTCTTTGAGTGTCTCACTACCACGCAAAAATTTAGCTCTCTAGCTCCTACAGTTGCTGAGTTATGATGGTTACACTGTTAAAAACTCGCATCTTACATAGAGATATACTGAGAAAATCGAATTTTTTCAATAAAAGAGAAGAGTGAAAAAATATAATGAATAGATCTTTTTGTACTGCTAAGCACCATATCGTCTTGCTGAGTCCTATGTCGTACTGCCAAGCACCATATCATACTGCAGAGCACCATGTCATACTGCTGAGCATCATGTCATACTGCAGAGCACCATGTCATACCGCTGAGCACAACGGTTTATTGGAGGTGCATAGTGCTGAGCACCATGAATTTTATTAATTATTTACAAAATTAATTAGATAAATTAAGTTTTAGTCCGAAATTCCTTTCGGACTTTCGGCCCGGACCGAAAAATCACCGGAATTTCGGCCCGGGCCGAAAGTCCGGGACAAAAAATTCGTGGGCCGAAATTCCGGCCACCCTCCACACAAACCCACACCCCACCCACATTCACACCCTTTTGAACAAAAACGATGATCTCTCAGAGATTTCACACTTTTCGTATCGTGCATTATTATGACTAACCTGAAGGAAACATGATAGTTCTAGATTTTACCTCTAAAAAGAAGATCCTTAAACCCACTTTACAATATCAGCAAACATATAATTTTAGTTTGTTGCAGAACTTCAAGCACAAAGATAATGGTAAGATATCCTATGTTTGGGTAGGTAAAAAAGTGAATTAATGATGTTATGGTTTTTCCTCAGAAATATTCAACAAGAATTTTATAATTACGCTAAAAAATTTTTGCATGAAAGCAGAAGTCAGTCTGAAAGTTTCAGTTCTACAATTTTCACTTATACTTTTATTGCAATAAGAAACATCCATAATTATTCTTTCTGAGTGCAAAATATAGATGCATAAAACAAATTTGTATAATTCTCTTTCTTGCTGAATATAAACACTTTATAGTAATATTTTAATTCTTGCATCTAAATCAGAAAGTATGAGATCGGTTGATTGTATGTCAGCATTGAGTCGCTTTCTACGTTGAGAACTGGTAAGATATTTCAATTAAAAAAAGTCACTTGAATTCTTGATTTCGACTCGGTTAGCTCTTAATAATACAGAGCAGTCTATATCGGGTATGGGTATGTATGTTACCTTTGTTCGTGGCACACCGACATCCACAGCCTAACAGTTCTCAACGGTCGACAGTGGTAAGATCTTTCTGCTCTAAATATACGATTCAGACGTATCGACAACGATTTTCTGAAACTGATGACTTTGAAAGTTTTTTCTGAATATTTCCTATTTTCTAAGAATCTTTCATTTGTTCAGATAGTTTTTCTATTTGAATGTATGACCAATTTTCTTTTAGTTATAACATATGACTTCATATAGATATTGTCAATGAGCTATACCAATAAGTCACTTGAAGAAAACAACGAAATTCATATAGAAAATATGTTAGTCAAAATAAAACTAAAATATTAACTTCTTAAAGACATCCTAATAAAAACCTATAGTTACAAAATATTTTATTAATTTTAAGAAAAGAAATAAAAAATTATCAAAATATGCTTCGTCAAAAAAGGTATATGAATCATATGACTGGTTACGTTTGAATAAATCTTACTGATGGATGAGTCATTATTTCTCCTTCATCACTAATCCAGGCACAGCTATTACCGTTAAATACGTTTTTATTTATTTTGCTAGAACAGAAAAACATCGTTTCACCTTCTCATATTCACTATTTTTTTACACGCGATAACTCACAACGTGAAAAACGTTTGTTGAACACAAAAAGAAAACACATTGATATATCTTTAGAGATTATCTTAATATTCAATATGAATGAAGTTATTTCAAACTCGTTCAATACTAATGGTACTGTGACGCCAGCTGACCCAGGAGAAGAAAATTTATCATCAGCTTCATTTGTTTTTCAACAAGCTGTAAACGATGATCAACAAGAAAAAACACCTCATTATCAACTAAAAGCACCACTATGTGTATCGCAACGATATGAAGAGGAATTTTTTGATCATGTAAGCTGCAAAATTAATTTATATACAAAATTTAATGCGAAATTTAAAAAAAACTCATTCTATTTATAGTTTCATATGAATTATTTTGGTAAACTTGAACGTGAAGGTTTATTTTTAGCTTCTGTTCGATCTATTCAAATAGAACCATATGAAATACGTCGACAACTATCATCTTGTTATTCAGTAACAAAGGATGACAAAAATAAACATTTAGTTCAAGCCATTATTCGGTAAGTTGGATTATCTTTTTTCTGAAAAAAATTCTTATTAAAAAAAAAGACTTCAATTCGATCAATATAGAAAAAATTTCATGAAAATTACTTTTAAGAATATTTAAGTAGTTAAATAATATTCTATTTCGAAGGTTTTATTTAAATTATTTTATTTTATTAAAGTACACAGGAGAACAATTATGATGTATCAGGAATAATCAGTGTCACAAATGAAGTCAATATTTTACAATTTCTATTAGACAAAACTGAACTATCATCTATTTGTCAGGTTGAGCTTGTTCACGATATCAAAGTAGGAAAATTAATAAACATAAATATACTAACATACTTCGCTGAAGTATTGAACGTTTTTTAACGTAAAAAGGAAAATTCTTCTCCTTTTTTTTGAAAATATAATTTGAATTACTTCTTATAAATAAATTCAAAATAAATAATAATTCAATAGTCGCATTAATTAAAGATTTTATAAGTCCGTTTTTTATATAAACGATGAAAAATTTTCTGATAAGAAAACTTCTATATTTCTGATGCTTTTACATTGCTTTGTTATTTGTAAAAGTAATGTAGAATGACAATAAGTATAATGGGTATCAGTGCTATAGAAGGAACAAATATCAACTTTTTGTTTTCATTTTTGTGTACTCAAAAAGTTCATACCAGAGGTCCAACCAGGCCACTAAGCCTGCCTGCCTGCCTGGGCCTGC